CCCCCCCACCTGTCGAACATCTGGCCCATGGTGCCGCCCAGTGCCGCCAGGTAGGGCACCAGCGCCATGGAGAGCGCCACCACCAGGTACAGCTGGTTGGTCAGGGCCAGCGGCAGCACGCCCTTGGACACCGCCTCGCCAAACGCGACAAACGCAAACTCGCCGCCTGTGGAGAGCAGCAGGCCTGCGGGGCGCCAGGGGGGGGGAGTGTTGGACGCGTGTATGGGCGGGCGGAGGAAGGCGCCCTGTGGGGGAATGACGTGCACGGGAGCAAAGCAGCAGCCCCTTCCAGGGGGGGGGGCGGGTGAGAGCCCCGCACAGCGCACGGACGTTTTGAGGCCGATGACGCTAGCAGGGCGCCGCTGAGCACGCCCATCAGAAACCCCATCACGCGCCGACGCAGCCTGCCGCCGAGACCCCCCACTAGACCGGGCCAGCACCTCCGGCCCCCTTCCGCCACCACCCTGACCCCGGCCCCCCGACCACCACCCCGGCCCCTCACCCGCCCGCAGCGCCGACATGCGGCTGAGGCCAAACATCTGCCCAGCCAGCATCATGACGCCCAGCTTGCCAGCCACCAGCAGCACGATGGACGCGACGATGGTCTTCCACTGCGCCACAAAGAGGCCCACGCTGATCTGCATGCCCACGGTCATGAAGAACAGCCCCATCAGCAGGCCCTTGAAAGGCAGGATGTCAGACTCCACCTGGGGGGGTTGGGTTGCGGGATCGTCAATTTGGGGGGTTGAGGGGAGTGTGGGGATGCGAGGGGGGGCAAAACACGCGTGTGAGCGAGTGTGTATGAGTGGGTATTTGTTTGCGTGTGTGTGTGTGTGTGTGTGTGGGTGTGTGTGTGTGTGTGTGTGTGTGTGTGTGCACGTATGCATGTGGAGTGGAGTTGAGGCAGAAGGGGGGGGGATGCCGCGCAAGCCATCTTGCCTCCTTGGCCCCTGCCAATACCGCAGCACCCAACTCCTCACCCTGCTCCCTGGGGTCACAAACCGCCCTACCCCTGCCCTGCCCTGCCCTCCCGCTTTTTACGCACACACACGCACACACTCACACAATCCACAAAACACACCCCTATACACACACCACGCACGCTCCACCCACCTGCAGCGCAAACTCCGTCTCGGCGATGAGCAGCCCCGCCAGGAACGCCCCCAGCGCCAGGCTCAGCCCCGCCAGCTGCGTAGCCATGCTCGTGCCCAGCACCACCAGCAGCGTCGTGGCCGCGAAGATCTCCGCGTTGGCCAGGTTGGAGATCTTCTTGTACAGCGGCCGGATGAAGATGCGGCCGCCGGCGATGATGCCGAGGATGCACACGACGGCCTTGACGGCCGCGATGCCGAGGGCCTGCGCGATCTTGGCGGCGCCGCCGCTGCTGCCGGACGCGTCGGGCGCGAGGAGGGGGATCAGCATCAGCAGCACCACGACGGCCAGGTCCTGTTCAGGGAGGGAGTGCGGTGTGTGTGTGTGTGTGTGAGTGTGTGTGTGTGTGTGTGTGTGTGCGCGCGTGTGTGCGTGCGTGTGTGCGTGCGTGTGTGCGTGCGTGTGTGCGTATGTGCAGGAAGGGGGGAGGATGGTGAAGAGGGGCTGTCGTGAGAGCGGCGCGGCTGCAGCAAATGGTTTGATAATTGAGGATAAGACCTCCTCATCTGTGACGCGTGAAGAAACGGCGCCGGCACTGGCAGCGCAAGGACGCGGAAGGTTGTGCAGCCCCCCCCCTTCTGGGGGGGGGATTAAACGCCAGGACACGCGGGGGCGAGGGGCTGCCAGCAGGTGGGGAACGCCCCTCCAGGCCCCCACCTGGAAGAGCAGCACGCTGAATGTGGCGCGGCCGTGGCGCGAGCCCATCTCACCACGGTCCTCCAGCACCTGCGGAGGGGTGCAGGGCAGGCGGAGTGTGGGTGCATTCGTTGTAAGTGAGTGTGTGTATATGTGTACACGTTCAAGAAGCGGCAAAGGCAGAGGGACGCGTTTGCTGGCAACTGTCAACACGAGTGGCGCTGGGCGCGCACGCTCACCTGGATGGCGACAGCGGTTGTGGACATGGCGAGCGCGCCCCCGAGGATGATGGCGCTGGGGCCGGCCAGCCCCGCGACCCCCATGGCCATGGCGGCCACGCCCAGCAGCGTCAGCACGGTCTGGAGGGGCAGGGGGAGGAGGGAAGGAGTGAGGAGTGCGCGCAGTGCAGCAGGAAGCCGCTCTCCGGGGTGGATCCAGCCCCGCTGCTGATGCCGACACAAGCCGCTCTGCTGTGC